GGTGTTCAAGGCCAGGTTGGATGGGGCCCTGGGCAGCCTGGGCTGCTGTGAAATGTGGAGGTTGGTGGCCCTGCCTGTGGTGGGGGTTGGAGCTTCGTGATCCTTGAGTCCCTTCCAACCCGGGCCGTTCTGTGATTCTGTGATCCAGAGACATAGGAAATCATGTAACAATAGCAAACAGCAATGGCTAAAGAAAGAAGGTTGAATAGCAAGGGCGGAAAAAATAAGGTGGTGGTGCTGAGGAAACAGCTGTGGTAGAAAGCAAGGCACCCGATTCAGTAAGAGAAATTACCTAAAAAGGGCAAAAAGCCAAACCAACAGATCTGGCACTAAATATTACAGCAGTAACATCAAGAAAGGGCAACAGGAGTCCTCACCAGCTGTGCTGCGGGTGCAAGGACCATTCAGGAGCACTAGGGTGAAGTTCAGGATGATGGGAAGGTGCATGCAGTAATGAAGGGAACGCTGGAAGAATACAAGAACAGAAAGGATGGAAAATACAGACAAGTCCTCATTTCTTGTTTGGAACTGCTTTGAATGAGAGCAGATGAAGATGCTCTGTGGGGTGACACAGGAACCTGCTCTAAGCCCTTGTGTGGGAGCCTCCACATTTATCACCCCCAGATGGCCAAAGGGGAATCGCATCAGTAAAAGATCCTTATCTTCCCAGGGACAAGTAAGGCAAAAAAAAAAAGGTGCAGAGATACTGGTGAGTCAGTGCTGCTCTGGAGCGTGGCAGCCAGATGCTGTACTTCCCTGGCAGTATGCTGATCAATGGGAGATAATGATCTTCTGAGTGTATGGGTAAGCAAAGAGAAGAGCTTTATGGAGAACCGATGTCTCTGAGAAAAGCAGTGCACGGAGCACTCATAAGTCATCTCACCTTAAATTACCGTGTGTTTGAGGGAATTGATGAGGTCAGCTGGAGCTGTGTTGTTAATGAAGAGACCGAGCTTTGAATTTCAAAGGGACACGTGTAAAAATGCAGCTGGTCTGCTAGGTGAGGTGGCTTGAAAATCTCAGCTGCATGCAGGCAAAAAACAAATTGGATGGAGTCCACAGGGCTACTGTTGAGTGAAATTTGGTCCGAAGGTAAAAAGTGCAAATCCACCTGAGAAAGGAATGAGGGGTAAGCAGCATCTTCTGCAACAGAGGGGAAGAGCTGATGGTCAGCAACTGCTGTCCCAAGGCCAGGAATCACAGGGAGAGCCTCTGGGCAGGCTCAGCTGCATCTCACAAAGGATATTAAACACTAAGTGCTCCTATAAATAAAAAGGTCATTAACATAAAAAAGAACAAAGGGAGAAGTGGAGATTCTACATGTTGAGGATGGATGGAATTTAAAGGTAATTTTCCCATTGGCCCAAACAAAGCGTATACGTTATCTCCATTTGCAGTAAGGATGATTTATGTTAAACACAGGGACTAAAGATATAAAACAGTTGCTGCTGTACCAGATGGGATATTATGACTTAAATTGGAGAAGATGGATAATAATGAAAAGCCATAATATGACCAAGGAGATGAATAACTGCCTAAAGGAGAAATGAAAAACAGTGTTACTGGGAGCTGCAGGCTGGAGGGAGTCACGAGTGAATTTTCTGACAGACAAGAGAAGGGACCAATTTTATTTAATATTTTCATTAGCAATGTCAGTACAAAAATCAGAAATATGCCAAGGGAATGTCGGGATAAAGACCAGAAATATGCTCGGTAATGCTGAGCTGGGAAGCATCAATACAGCTCTTCTTAGAGAGGAAGAGATGGATGATCTTCAGCACTGCAGTAGCAGAAATAGAATGTACTAGCATCTTAACAAGTATTAAGAAACTTGGCTTTAAACGAGAAATCAGTCAGCTGGGAAGAAAACCAGACACACTGATAGACCATGGGCAGGGCTGGGAGGTGTGTGAGCTGTGCAGGGTTCTGTTGTGGGGGGCTCTGAGCTGGGCATGGCCATGGGCAGCTTGGGACCCAGGGACATAGCCTGTCCATGCCAGCACGTATCTCTGAAAAATGGGGCAAGTTCCAGAGCTTGGCAGGGCTTTCAGGCACGGTACGGCTCCCAGATCGCCCCAAGCCTTACCGTGAGCAAAGTAGCTGAAAGAAGTAATTCTGCAGGCTCTGGGCATTTCTTTTTTTTGTCCATCACAAACATTGACCTCCACAGGTATTTTCGGTGTATTTAGGTGTGGAAGCAGAATTCAGCGGACAGAAACTATCAAGCCAGTTCAGCACAGCTGCAGATGCCCTGATGCGGTCTGGCTCAGTGCACACTTGGCGTTTGAAGTGATGGAATCATAAGCTGGGCTGCAGCACTGGGCCTGGAGCCATGCACTGGTGCTGCTGCCCTCACCGCGGCAGCGCTGGCCAAAAACCATGAGATAATTCAAAGCCACAGGTGAAAACTCGTATTAAAAAAATCTGATCCCCAACGAGGACCACGTGGGGAGCAGGCCCAGGTTCTGCAACAATAATGAATGCAAAGAAGGTCCCCACAGAACACCCCTGAAATGATAACCCTGCCTGGCACCTGCGCTTCGTGGGGATTTGGAAGTAGGTCTGGGCTTTGTTGGTATGACAGTATCAATCAATCTAATTAGATCTTTTTGCATAATCACATAGCATTTGCATAAAAGTAAAGTCAGCCCAGGAGACAGCTAAGAAAAACAAGGGCTGAGGGAAAACAGAAACTTCTGAGTTATTGCTATTTTTCTGAGACTGAGTCAGCTCTGATGGAAAAAAACTTGTATGAGTTGCAAAAGCTGAGTGCCTGGAGTCTACATCTGACAGAATGAAGAACAGAAAGTGCCTTTCAGGAATGAAAATAGGAAGAGAAGTCCTGAAAACTTCAAAAGCTCCTCTGTGCTCCTGCGGAAAGACCGAGCAGAGCAATCTCTGGCAGTACCTGAGCATTGAAAACTGTGAATTTAATTAGGATTCTTAGCCTGATCTTTCAAATTCGCTCAAGAAGTCAGAGAAAAAGAGTCTTGGACTGAAGCACAGAGCCTGTGTTGGGCTTTGCTTTGCTTTTTGTTCTTCGTGCCTGTTGAGCAGTGCTGAGGGCACACAGAATGGAGGTATATCAGAAAAGAATCAGAGTTGAAGCAAGAATGTGATTTAAATAACGTGCTTATCTTGTACTGGGCTTGAACAAAGCAGGAGCTGGGCAACGAGGTTATGTGGTCAAAGCATGGGTCAGGCTGGAGCTGTGTGACCAGTGGCACCTGGTGAGCGGTGGGGAACCCAGGGTGAAGCCCAAAGAGCAATTGCACGTCCATAGCAGCCATATGCCTCAGCATCCCTCTCAGTTAATAACACAACAAACCTTGTAAGGGTTGCCTTCAGCACACAGGGGACTCGGTGCCATCTCGCCAAGGCTACAGATCTGGCCTTTGCCAATGTTTGCCGAGAGGAGGCACTGGCTGGATGGGTCTGAGCCATCCTCCTTTCCATCTGCAGGGGCATTTCAGTTTGATATCACGCCTCTGTTGCTTTGTGGGCAGAACTCAGGTGAGTCGTTAATTAATTACTGGCCAGTCTCGAGTTATGTAGTGCTAACACAGCTAGTTCAGTTATTAATGGCCACTCAGAATCTATTATCTATCGCCTCAATAAACCATTTATTTTCTACTTGGCGAACCTGTTTCAGTGAAAGTCCTCGAGAGGGCTCTGACAGGCAGGCTCTGGCTGATAAGTGGGCACATGCAATCCTTCAGACAGGGACTGCTGGCCAAGTGTGGGGCTAAGAGTGGGGACAGCCCCAGGGGACAGCAGCACGTTCCCCGTCCCACACCTGTGCTCACAGGGTGCCCAGAGGATCGACTGCCAGCAACCAGCTGCTGGTGCCGAAATCTTTGCAGGGCGGTGTTCAAATCACTAATCCACATTTATCAAATAGTGACTTTTGCGAAGAGAAGATTTTAATTTGTCTTCCTTAAGAGTGTGTGTATTTGGTGAGTGACCTAGATTTTGATTAATGAAGTGAATAATATATTTTTCTTCTGGCTGGAAGCTACTGAGTTATTTTTGTTTTCCTCTTTAATCCTAAAAATGGGTTAGCCTTTAGGTGGATATGCAGATTCAAAATTACTAAGCTGATGTACAATTGGGCTGTAGTATAAGGAGTATAAGAAATACAAGCATTTGAATGAATGCTTTATTTATTTATTTTTTTTTGCCTGCACAAGGCAGATAACTTGTGACAAAAAGACCAAAGACAGTGGCTAGACTAATTATGCTTCAACATACATCTGGGGGTTTCCAGGTGTGAAGTTGGTTCAGTGGGTCTGTGTATGCAGGTGAAGGGCAATAGATTCGACACATTCAAGTCACCACTGCCCAAAGGCTTCATTGTGCATTACTGGGCACAGCTTTGGCATGGGTGAGGTGGATGGTGACACAAAACACTGCTCCTCCCAAGGGGTGGAGATGCAGTGGCACAGCTGCCCAGCAGTGGTGGGGTCACCGTCCCTGGAGGTGTTTAAGAACCATGGAGATGTGGCCCTGAGGGATGTGGGCATGGTGGCGTGGGCTGGGGTCAGGCTTGGGGATCTTGGAAGTCTTTTCCAACCCGAATGACTCTGTGATTCTATGAACGGCTTGGGGCTGTCACTGTCATGCAGTTCCTAACCCCTCAGGTGATTATTTTCACCATTGGCCCAAACAGCTGCTCAGCAGAAGGAACAGCAGGCTTGCTGTTGGCCACCAGCTATCTGTGAGCTGGTCACTACCATCTCTTCTCCCATCCTCATCTGCCCACCATCCGCATGGAGCTTTGGGCTCAGGAGCACATCAGTCAATTCATCGCCAGGATCTGCCCTTCTGAGCGTGTCCCCCATGATGGCCTGGAAATGCTCTAAAAAGCAACAAGCTGAGGAGAGCAGATGTTTAGGTGCTGAGGCAGCAAGTGCCTGTGGTACAGACACCAAAAGGTTCCATTCTTTACTTCTGACTTCTCCAACAACGTGATTTACAGAATCCTAGAACCATAGGGGTTGGAAGGGACCTCTGGAGCTCTCCCAGTCCAACCCCATGTTACAGCAGTTCCCTGAGGATCTGCACACAAAGTGGGCTTGGATCTCTCCACGGAAGGAGACTCCTCCATCTCTCTGAGCTCAGTACCAGGGTTCTGACATCGCCACAGCACAGAACTTCTTCCTCATGGCCATACGGAACATTCTAGGCTCCAGTCTGTGCCCAGTGCCCCTTGTCCTGATGCTGGGCACCATGGAACAGAGCCCAGCCCCATCCACGTGACTCCCATTCTTTTGAATATTTATAATCACCACTTAGATCCCCTCAGCAGAGGGAACAGGTAGTGGTATTGGCCTTGGGACTGAAGAACCCGTGGTTGAGAATCTAATGAAGTTGAGGGCTCCTAGGAAAAAAGTGAGGAAAAGAAAAACATCTGCTCCCCAAGATCCCACAGCAGCTTTCTGCTTGTCTTAGCACACAGGGCTAGCAGCAGCATTCTAACCCTGAGGCTCCCAGCATAGAGCAGCTCAATACACATGTGGCAATGCTAAGTCCTAATCATCCTCAGCTGCTCCACCACCCCACCCATGAGCTGGGCTCCATTTAAGCTCCATCCAGGGCACTCCTTCTAGTTAGAGATCTGCTGTGGGTCTGCCTGGTCTCTGAGGGAGCTCAGGCTTTTCTGGCCCTGTGTTCCTTGCCTTGGCTGATGGTGGCCAGAGATGTGACCCTTACTGGGATGCTGCTGGATGCACCAGGTTGGTGAGGGTTCTGCCTGTGACAAGGTCACTGTAAGCTCCTGGCTCCTTGCTGCCCTGTTTGTGATGCTCTCTGATAGTATAGGCAGCCCGAAGCCATGTTGCTTTCCCTGCTCTCCTCTGCCTTGCAGGGTGCTGTGTGCCTGCTCTTACACTGTGGTGCCCTGTATGATGGAGGAACTGCCTTGTGCGATGCCCTGGAAGCCTTCCCTAAATATGGTGCAAGCAAGCTGGCTCTCACACAACGATGCATGAGGTATGTTGCACCAAGAGGGTCTCAGCTTTATTGGTGCATGCAGTGTAACTGTTGGCTCAAACACTTGTGCATAAGAGTGGTTGGAGAAAAACCCATGTGGTCTTTTTGGGAAACTGCTGGCAGCTCTTAGAAGCCTGGTGCTGCTAGAGTCCACTTGTAGCTCAGCTTCTTTTTTGAAGCCTAATAGCATTTCTATGGTAAAAGCCCCCTTTCTGTGGTGCCATAAATAAATAGATAAAACTTACTCTGTGCCTCTTCAGTATTGCTGCTGGGGAGAAAAAACACTGATGGGGCAGCAAGCCTGGTGTTGGGTTTTCAGGGCACAGTGCTGTTTTACATGTACACAGCACCCAATTGGCTTTCTATGCTTGTATAATTCTTATCTCAACAAAATCAAGAAAACCTATGAGGCTGTCCAAACCATCCTCCCAGGCGTAGGAGCCTGAGGTCTGCAGATCTTCAGGGCTGAGGCAGCCAGACATCCTCACTGTGCAGCAGCCCACAGCCGCTGCTCCTCACCTCAGTGCTCAGCCTGCTCCTGCTGGTGAGGTTTTTCCTAGGGCTGCGAACAGCCCTGGCAGCTACTTTAGCACCCTCAGCTACTTTTGTTGCTAGGACTTCATTAGCACTTGGTTTTCCCAACGGCTCATTTCCTTCAGTGCTTTAAAATAATGGGAATAAAACACCTATGCCCAGTGCTGGTACCTGTGCCCTGCAGGTGTAGCAGCAGTGCAGGCTGGCGATGCTGTGCTGCTCAGGGCAGCCCCTGTCTGGAATGGGCATGCATGATTTCCTCCCTCTTGTTTTTCATCCAACGTTTTTAAGTCCAAAAGTAGGACAGAGCACAGCATTTCTGACTGTGCCGGTGGGTGTTTCCAGCCAGCTGACAGCTAGGGCAGTTTTTATTACCTATGTTTTGATGTAAATCGGAGCTGTGGGCCCAGGAGGGCTGAGGCTCCCTGCGAGGCAGCAGCCTTTAAAGCAGCTTTCTGGTGGTGGGGCTGCGCTGGTAATCAGCTCATCTGTGCTCCCACTTATCTCTGGGCCCTGCGGCAGGGAAGGAGACTGAAGAGCCACAACGTGAGCACAAACAGCTCACAGCACCGAGAGCTATAGGGGCTTTTTGAACTTCAAGACTCAGAGAATGCCTGGGAAAAAAAATATGCTTATGTGTGTGGAGGTGAAAAGCTTTTCCCTCCTGAGCATCCAGCGTCACTGATGCTTTAACTGGGGCCTTCTTTATGTAATGCAATTGGCACGGAGCTCCCTTGCCTCCTCATGGAGCTGCTGACGTGTGTCTGTGATCAGGTGGCCAGTGCAGTTTTCCCTCTGAAAAGTTTGAGGATGAGGCTGGGATGAGCCCATCCCAGTGCTGGTTGTCCTGTGGGGTCAGGTCAGAAATGAAGACGGGCCATCAGGCGTTGCAAAGCACTGCAAATTCAAAATGCTGAACCCCAGCAGTCCGTCATGCAGCGCTCAAGGAAATGAGTTGACTTCTGGGACTATAGAGGAAGCGCATACAGATCTATTAATAATTAACTATGCTATATTAATTTCTTTTTTTCCTGCTTCAGCATTTTTTTGCTCACCATGCTTCAGAAATACGTGGCTGGCAGAAACGCTCTGCCTGAATGTGACTGAAGGTGCTCTGGTGCATTCACTGCAGCACACTGAGTTCCCTCTGTGCCTTTCGGAGGTGCTTGACCTCTAGGGTCCTTTGGGAAAGCAGTTGTCAGTGCTGTGCCATGAGCTCTGGTGCTCAGGTTGCTTTCTGAGCGCTTTTCCTTTGCAGAGCCCATACACAGGGCTGGGTGACTGCACTGGGGAGAGTGCTGGTCTGAATCTGCAGGTGAGCTGTGTGGTGTAGCTGGCCATCTTGGTGCTTTCTGTCTATTGCTACTGCTGCTGGCTCTTCCTAGGAGACCAAGTACACAAATAAGTATTTAATTATCTCCTAGGAGATGGTGATGTGGAAACTCTGCAGCTCATGGTCCACCTGGACTAATGGTGGGAGGAGGGTACCACTGCTGTTACTGTGGGCTCAGAGTATAAAATGTGGAGCCCACCACCTATGTTCATGTTCTATATGGATGCAGCAGCTCTTGCTGGAGTTCAGGGAGCAAAAATGTGCACTCAAAGTCTTTTAAAGTGGTGTTTGGGTGGGAATTACGGCTGCTTTTCTCTGCCCTGCTGCAGGGGAGCTGGATCCAGCTGTCTGCCAGGGTGCTGGGCTGTTTCAGATAAAAGCATCTCACAGTCCTGTGCTGTGGCTGCTGAGATACTTGTGGTGGGGAGTCTATGAGGAGAGAGAGGCATTGGCTGTCTGAACTGGAAAGCTTGTCTCACAATGGCTGCAGGAGCATGGATCTGACCCTGTCTGCAGTGCAGAGCCCCTTCCTCTCCTGCTGAAGCGTGTATGTGGGAGAATGTGGGGCTGGCAGTGTGCCCATGGGGTGCCCCCAGGCCTGGCCACAGGAGAGAAAGGGATGCAGAACCCCAGCAGCCCCCTGCTGCCAGCTGGGACCTCCCCATGCGGTGCTGGGTTTCCTTCTCCCAGCTTTTCCAGTTGGGTGCTGCCCTGGTTGCTGTTGCAGCTTGGAGAGAGAAAACTGATTTTAGGATCCTTATCTCAATATGGAATCCCTATCTGTTAGTAGAAGGGAGAGACTGTGTCTTGATGGGCTGCTCCTGCACCCCTGGCCTGTAGAAAGACCCCCTTGGTGGCCACCAGAGCACATTCATTTTCCACACTGGGGGCATGGTTGGCAATGCTTTCGTCAGCCTCACTTTCAAGCATGGGAACTCACGGCCTTGCAGCTTGCCATGTGCTGCAGTTGCTGCTGTCTTTTAAAGAGATCTTAGCTGTAATGGAAAAGAGGAAATCGTCAATTTTATGCATTTTGATTTTTATTACTGCCTTAACATTTTATCCATCTAACAGGACCATTTCTAACTTTGCAGGATTAAGTGTTTGGTTTCAAGTGTTACTTTCTATAATGGCAAATACCTTATAATTAAGGAGAAGCTACACCTGCAAGAATGTGCCAGCGCATGGATTTCCCCAGAATACCCATAGGGTTTTCCTCTTCAGGAAAAAAAAAGAAAAATCCTGCAGGGAACTGAGATGTTATTTCAGACAGCAAGTAATGGAGTGACCCTGCAGCAGATGGCACAGGAACATGCTGTCTGCTGCTGAAGATTTACAGGGCCTCCAAAATGCAGCAACAGAAAATGTTTGTAACTGTTCTCTGATCTGAGCTTGATGAGTTGTGTCTGGGCTTTTCTTCCTGCACTTGAGCACTTTCTGTTTCCTGCCATTTGAAACAAATAGCTGTGACTTTCTCTCTCTCCCCAAGCAGAGAGCAGAACAGCCACAAGGCATTTGGGTGGGATGGAGAAATGGTCCTTAGTGCTACAAGTTTTTCTGTTTTATGTCAAAGAGTGACTTTAATGTGTATTTCTTGTAGCTGATGGATAACCACAATTTCTTCTCATCGCGTTTCTATTTTGTGATGGAGAAGGAAGCAGTCTGTACATCTTTCCTTGCCCCTTCCATTCCTCTCCCCCCAGATGCTATGTGGGACAGAGCTGATGGTTGGTGTGCTGAATGTTGGGGATTTAAGGTCAGTTCTGGCCTGCACGTGTCAGTTCTTGTTTGGACTCAGCCAGTGCTCTGATGATGCTGAGAGGCAGAAGCCTCCTTGGTCCCTCCCAGTGGTGCCGGGAGCAGGGAGCAAACAGCTGAGGTGAAGAAAACGGGCAGTCCCGATGTGAGATGGCTTTGCTGTGAGCTGGGTGGTGTTATGACAGTGATCTATCAAAGCAGATCCACAGCTGGGAATTCTTAAATTACTTCTAGATGCCATGTATGAGGTTTTGAAAGCAGCAAGGAGCTTTCTGTGCCTGAGGAGCTGTGCTCTCTGCATTGAGCAGCATGCTTTCCCTCCTTGAGCAGTGATAGATAATGCTTCCTCATATTAGCTTGCACTTGATATGTTCTTCACTAAAATGCTCTTGGCTTTTTGTAGGCTTGGACACACTGCAGCACAGTGTGGCTCATGTAGACACACACGAGTGGGCTCTGCCCTGGACAGAGGAAGCCCTGCAGCCCTGTGGGGACACATGCCCAGGGTCCCTGCCTGCCTGGGGGAGCTCATCCCACCTCTGTGCCTGTCCCCCAGTGCAGCCCTGCAGCACCCAGCTGTGTGCTGTGGCCGTACCAGGGGCCTTCCAGCTGCGCCTTGTTGTTTATTTTATTATTTCAGCAACCCGAAGTTCTTTTCCCCTAATAAAAGTGGGAGAGAGGGGACATGTGGGAGGAGGTTAGGTGTTTCCATTCACAGCCCTAATGGCATGAAAAGCTCTCCATGTTATTCAAGGGTAACTCCATCTCTGCAGGGAGTCGTGGTAGTCAATACCCTATTTGAGCTCAGTGTTCATATTTTTTTTAATTAAAAGGCTAAGCTGGGAGGATTACATGACTTTTATTTTAAAAAAAGAAAAAAGCCACTTGAGCTAGAGTATTAAGTCATTACCGCTAAAGAAATCAAACAAAAGTTGGAGTTGCAGGCTCTGGAGGGGGAGAAGAAAGGGCAATGGTGCATGTAATATATTTACATATCACAAAAACAGCATCTGCTCTCATCACTCCAGCTTAATCCTTTTCAAGAGCGCACCGTTTTGATTTAGAAGCTCGCATGCTGCTTTTTGGGGCAGCTTAACCCCATGCCACGTGAACAGCTGAGCATGGGCTGCAGCAGCTGGGCACAGAGCCTGGCACTCCGTCATGGAGGGGCTGAGGGGACGCTGCTGTCACTGCTGGGCCGTGAGGAAGGCATCAGTCTGTGGTCCGAGCTCCAGGAGCACCTCAGAAATGAAGGTGTTTGGAGACTCGGCCTGCTGGGCCTGTGCCGCCTGTCTGGGTGGACGTAGGGCCTGCGAGGTTGTTTGTCTTAGAGACAGTGTGCTGTAAGGGATTGCCAAACGGGGTGTTTGGCCAGGTTAAAATGAAATAAAAACAGAGGGCTTAAGATGAAAGACAAGGTAAATGTTTATTAGTAAGGCCTCACTGGGCCAAACCAGGTTGAGTGACACCAAAGCATGCAGAAAGCAAGGAAAAACGCAGTGCCTCCTGAGCAGTGGGGACTGAATAGCAGTGCTGTGAAATACAGCAAGGATTTCCTGGGAACACTGGGCTGAAGCCCTGCTGCAATGCTCGTGCATCTTCCATTTTGCATCGCAGGTATTTTATTGACTCAGGAGTTGTCAGTGCTGGGAATGGCAGGTGTGTGTGTACGTTATGCCTTGGTGTGTTCCTGTGTGAGTTTCCCATGGGAGACATTTTGTGATGCAGAAAACTGGAGTATAAAGCATGGTGGGAGCTCAGCGGAGTTGCACCTACACAAGCTGCAGTACGGGCAGTAGCTAAAACATTGAGTTCAGAAATCAGCTTGTCGTGTTAGCCCTTACTGTGTGGTTTGTACGGCGTTAAGTCCCCATACGTTTGTTTCTTAAGAACAAGTGCTTCTTGTGCCTTTCTCTTTGCTAACCACGGCTCACCTCAGGGTTGCCTCTTGCTTACATTCCATCTGCTTGCATTTTGGGCACTTTCTCCTGCAAACTTTCCCCAGCAGTTTTTCTGTTCTCCAGGTTGTCCTTATCTGGCTGAAATTAGGGCGCCAGGATATTAAATGCTATGTGTCTTATTCCTGTAGGGAGTAAAACTATTTTTTTTTCCATGTTTGTTACTTCTCTCTCCCTGTTGTCATGACTGTCCTCACCTTGGAAAGGAGCTTGGCCCAGAGGAGAGGTCTTCCAGGATGCCCTGCTTGACAGCAGGCAGTGCCTGTGGCTTCAGCTCTGACAACAGAGCCTGAGGGTGATGAGTTCTGTGGGAAAGATTGACAATCTTTTACAAAATACTTGAAGAGAAGAACAGCATTGTAAAACGCCTTTCTCCATTGAAGGAAAAAAGCTTCAAAGAAGGGCATCTCTGGCTTCTGAAGGGGACAACCGAGGTGGGCTGTCAGCTTGACCTTCGTGCTGGTATTGAATCCACTGCTGGACGAGGACTGCCATGGAAGCTGGGGCTGGTGGCAAAGTCAGAGGGTAAACTGTTCCCTAGAATCCGTGGTATCTATTTCTAAGCAGCAGTCAGCCATTATTTGGCTTCTTCATGAAGCAGGAGAATTGCAGTAGGTAATCATGTTGACCGCTCAGAGTTGGAAGATATGTTCCAGATTTGTGCTACAAATAGAGAGGCATTGTTATTTTTGTCACAGATTCGAGGGGATGAATTTGCATGTTGTTGCCTTTATAGCCAAAGCTCCTTGTAAACAGCAAAGAAAAAAACAGCAAATGATAAAAAAAAAAAAGTGGAGGAAAGAATCATAAAGGAAGGTGAGAAAGCAGAGTGAGGCACGTGATACCTGCAGCACTGAAGGCAGTGACGCAGTGGGAAAGGCAGAGTCACAGGAGCCTCTTCCCCCTGGTTGAGTGAAAACCCAACTAATGCCACATTAGGTTCTAAGATTCCAAGATCTAATAGGACATGTAATTGTGATGCTGAAGCTAATCATCTCCAGCCATCCTTGCACTGGTGTTATTGCCTGCTAACAGCCTTCAGAGCTCAGATAGAGCAGTACAGCCTGGTGCTCTTTCCCTCTTCCAATTACATTTTTTTTGACATCTCAGCTTTTGGCAGTAGTTTCTGGTCTTGCATTCTCTTTGTTTACCACATGCCATTGTTGTACAGCTCAGGCACTGTCTTTCTGATCAAACTGGAGCTTGCCATTAAATCAGACTTGTTTATGTGCAGGTGCTGCTTGCAGCTGAGCGCTTACCCTGTGCAGCACAAGCTCTGGCACTCATACAGTGTGTGCTTTGGGAAGGCCAGCAGTGGCCCTGCAGGCAGGGGAAATACATGGGGGAGGGGCTCACCCCAAGGCTCAGCACTGCTGGTGGCACTGAGACCAGGTAAGGTTGGTTTTGGGGGCTCCAAACACGTGGGACTCTGGGTTCTTTCCATAGACTTGGTCAGCAGAAAACTTGATTTCACAGAATCATAGACCCATTGAGGTTACTTGGTCTAAGGTCACTAAGACCAGCCCTAATCCATCGCTGCTGTGCCCACCAAATCCTTTATCCCAGTGTATCCCAAGGCCCTCACACAGCCCACCCCAGCTGTGGCCCCACTGTCTCAATAACCCTTCTGTGCTCAGAGGCACCTCTTAATTTCTGTTTGACCTTGGCTTTATGCTGGAGCACTGCCACAGCCACTGATGTCACAGATTTAGAAAGAGCAACAGAAAAATTGACTTTGAATGTTGAAGAGGGAAGCAGATGCTTCTCCTTCATTGTGGAAAGAAACAACATGAAGGTTGCTAGTGCTGAAAGGAAGTACTGTCAAATCAATGGGAGAGCTTTGGGTACCATTCTCTATGGAAGAGTGTTGATTCCTGGCTGAAAGCACACTTCTGCCTGAGCGCTCAGGGCTGGGTGCTGCTGGAATCTGGGGGCACTGTGCAGCTTAACCGCCTCAAGCCACTCCTGTACATGATTCTTCAGTTCTATATTGCTCCACTGAAGCTAATGATAATCAAGAATTTATTTTTTCTGCATAATCTACACTGGCCTTTCCACGCATTAAACCCAAGATCGCACCACATCATTTAAAATTGCATCCAGAAATGATTTCCTCTCTCTGCTGAAGCCTCTGAACGTCTGCTGTGCAGATCTGAAATTGGATTACCTCTCCCTGGCAGCAGAGGAGATGAGGGCTGGAGAGAGCCAGAGGAAGCATTTTGTTCAAATTTATTGTCTAACTAAATCAATCTCCATATGAAAAGACTTATATCTTAGTCGATGTGGGCTGTTTTTAGCCCAGACACCAATAAATTGTGGTCAATCAGAGGAAGGCAGCAAGCTGCTTTTTGGCGGAGCCCTGCCTCCACTGAGCTCTCTGTTTCTGGTTTTCAGCTCTGCCACTGCATAGGCTGAAATTTTATTTCCTTGCCTGAAGTGTCTCAGTTATCAGTGTTGACCGAGCAGTTCACCTGCTTCTGATATCGGTGTCTGCATTAGGGAATGGATGTGGGAACTGAAGACTGCACTGCGAGAGATGGAGTGAGCATGGGGAGGTGAGCAGAGGCTGTACACTGGTGCTGGGGATGTTGGTGTGCTGAAGCTCCAACCCCCCCAAATGGGGCACTGGGAATGAATTTCAGCAGCTGCCCCCATACCAAGAACCAACAGATTCCTAAATGCTTTCTCCCCCTGGAGCCGTGGTGGTGGGGGACCAGCATCAGGGTTATATGAGGGAGGGGGCTTGGAAGTATGTAGAGCTGGAGGGCTGCTCCAGCACCCTCCTGCATGTACAGGGAAATAGACTGGTTCAGTGAAGCAGTGCCATGCTGACATCTGCTTCTCTGTAATAATCCTGTGCTGTGTAATAATAAACCCACAGTGCTCCAAATCCGGCAGGAAGAAAGCTGCTTATTGATGCAGACAAGTGCACAGTCGTTGTCTTGTTCTCCCCTGTAAAACTTTAAGTATTCTGGAACCTGTCTCATCAGCTGTCTGGGAGCAGGCAGATTTACATCCTCCAGCTTCCTGGCAGGGGAGCAGGGCAGCTCTCTGCTGAACACAGCCTGAGGAAAGCCTCATGGAGGGGGTGAGCTTTTAACCTGGACCAACCTTTCTGACAGCGTGAATAATGAGACATTTTGATATATCAATAGTGATTTCTTGGGAGCGTGTTTCCTATTTGATTTGCTTGAAATGATGCACGCAAGTCAGCCCAGCCTGGTAAATCATTTACTGTGGGTGATTCTGGAGTGGGGTCAGGGACCTTTGTGGGTTTTGGGTACATCAGCAGGGATGGCTCCAGCTGCCCCACGCGGGGCTTCTGTGCCTGGGGAGTTCTAATGGCTCAGGCTGTTCAATACTGCCCTGGAAAGCGGAGAACAGCTGTCCCAGGGCTCTCTGTGCTTTATTCTCCTTAAGGCAGCTGCCAGCTGGAGGATGCTTAAAGAGCTGCCTGTGGTAACGACAAAGCCCTCCGGTAAAATAAAAGCAAGGCATGGTGGGAGCTGTGAGCTCACAAGTGGAGCACAAATTCCAGTCCTGCATGCAGGGCTTGCTCAGAACTGAGGCTTGTCAGCCCTCTGTGGGGCTCCCCGGGCACATCTCATTTAAGCTTAAATCAGACTGAAATTGTGCTTGCTGCCCAGTGTGGGGCTCATCCAGCCGTGGGCTGCCCTGCTGCTCTGTGCACGATGCAGCACTGTCTCGATGCAGCGTGGAGGTTTGACAGCTCTCCTGGCTCTGTCACAGCTTTGGGGACGGCAGTGTCCTGAGGCTCTGCTGCCCACCCCATGTGCTGCTGCCTGAGCTCCAGGAACCTCCATCCCTGAGGCACTCAGCATGCTGTGGGCTGATTTCCAGGAATTAACCACATCACTTCTCCTCGGTTTAAACAAATAGCTATGAGACATGTGCTAAGATGTGGGGTCTCAAACTTTTGAGCTGAGTGAGAAGGGCATGTGAAAGGAAGCAATAGCAGAACTTCAGGATATTACTTTTAGGGTACTGTTATAATTTCCTCTTTTTACGGAAACCTGCATGTGTGCTAAAGAGCAAATATGGAGTAACCTTGATGTGTGCATTTAGCAAATGAACGGTCTGGAAATTCCTATCTATCTGCATTGTATTTCAGACAATTGCTATACAAATTAAAGTTTAGAGAATAAAGTAAATTATGTGAGGGGAAATAAATATCCCCCACGTGCAACGCTAAGCCGCTGCATCAGTGCTAAGTGGATTTGTAGTGACTTTCTCTAATTCACTTCATTAGAAGAAAAGCTGTTGAAGACTTGGTGTTGCTTTGATAAATGCAGTGCCCCTGAGAGCTGCAGGTAATGCACTGTGTGTCTGTTGGACAGCTGGCCTGTCCCTCCCCGGATCACCTATTGGCCAGAATTGATGCTGGGAAGCTGCAAAGCTGCCCAGGAGTGGTGGTGTCACCATTCCTGGACATGATCCAGAGCAATGGAGATGTGGCACTGTGAGCAGTGGGCATGGTGGGGTGGGCCAGAGTTGAACTGGAGATCTTTTCCAACTTTAATGATTCTATGGTTCTAATGCATTTATCCATGCCCCTTTCTTTGAGGAAAACCAGCATAGATTTGTGTGTGTACCTGCAGGGTGCTGGGGCTGAGGCTCATGTGGCTTTTACCCATTTTGGAGCAGTTTTGGGGAGACTGACTGAAGAATGCCCTCCCGGCCCATGTGGGCCCTGCTTTGTGGGGCTGTGGTGTGGGGGCCAGCATGAAGCCTGCTCCTCTGTGCTGTGGCTCAGCAAGGAAATGGCTTAGCTGCATTTTTGTGGTTATAACTGTGTCTGGATAGAGCTGTAGCGTCAGGTGCCAAGTATCTAATTAAGCTGCCAGACCTGGGAGGGTGAGACATGGAGCTGTGTCCAGGGCTGCATTCAGATGCTGGATCCAGGTGGGCACTTGGGTTGCAAGTTCCTCAAACCCCACCAGCCATGCCAGTAAGCCTACTGTCATGTTGTCACATTGCCACATGGATGCATTGTCACATGTTTCCTCATGTGGCCATGAAATCCTTCATTTTCCTTTGCATGCTGTAAATTCTGGAGACTCCTGTCCCATCATATATATATACACACAGCACCCTCTCCAAGGCAGTTCTCCAGTGCATGTCCCAGATAACCATCCCTGCTTGGGATGTCTCGCTGTGTTCAGTTTGGTGCATGAGATGCTGACAGAAGTCTAACAGACCTTGCTAGCTGCACGTGGCTTCAAGCATTCTGTCCTGATAACAGAATGCAGGCAAGTCAAAGATGCAGAACTGACCTGTGCATATGGCGGTGCTAGAACAAAAAGACAAGCAGCTTGTAGCATGTGACATGGATGCTGTTTTATTTTAGTGCAGAAAACTCAAACTTTTTTTTTTTTCTGAATACAAAAAGGGATGAATCATTTTTGATGGACTCATCACAGCCATTTGTGTGTAACTGCTCACTGGTCCCCCCAGGGCTGCCTCAGGTTGCGTGAGGAATGTCAAGGTTTCAAATGCCATTTCTTTGTCAGATATTTGTTTTATTTTAAAGACAGCCTTATTCTGTGCAGGTGCATGGGAAATTGCTCATTCTGTGGCTGATTATAGCGATTGCTCTGACTGGGTGATGAAGGCTGATTGCCTTCCTGCAGCAGCAGAGTGGTGATGGAACGGGAAGGTCTGGAGCAGGGCAATGCACGAGGAGGGATTCTGGCAGTGCTAATGAGCAGACGTGGCAGGAGCAGACCTGGCAGTTGCTGCTCTGATTTCTCCCCATCCTCATCAATCAGTGATTTTGCTGACTGAGCTCAGCAAGTTTGCATTCCTTATTTCACATGTCCTCTACACAGTGAACTTGAGGTCTCTGTAGGGCTCCTGGGACGTCCTGAGTGCATCTCAGGTGGCAAAGGAGGGAGTACAGTGATGGTGTGGGATGGGATAAGTGGCACAATGGAGCAGGAGCATTGTGAGCCAGGAGGCTGAGCATCAGGTGTCTGTAGTGGGTGGTGCAAGAAGGGGGGGGGGGGGGGGGGGGGGGGGGGGGGGGTTACTGATGGAGGAAATGGGATGGAAAATCTGAACAGCAATCTCTTGTCAGGAAATAACTTCCTCCTGGTTTCAAGAGCAGAGCAGATTAAAGACAGCTGTTGCAATAAATCTTTTCAAATGCATTAAATGCAGAACTACAGGGAGGATGGTGTAGGGCTAGCACTGAGGGACAGGGTGGGTGTGCCTGCACCGGCTGTTGGCAAGAGAACAGAGTGAGAATGCTTGACGCTGGAGCATCTTGGTGACTCTCATAGCACTGCAGCCCAGCTTCAGGCACTGCTCCACCTGTGGAGCTCACAGAATCCCTGAACCGATGTTGGGCGCCTGTGGAGCTCCTCCAGTCCGACCCCACGTTAAGGCAGCTCCCTGAGCAGCTGCGCACAAAG